AACTTTGTCAATTCTTTTTATTGGACAATTCTGACATTTGTTTGCATTTACCATAGCCACTCACTCTAGAAACATTTGAATATGGCTGAATTTGCCTATATTTTCATTATTTAGAATGTTTTATAAAGACTTCTTCAATAAATCGAATCCTACCAAAAGAATGTTATTGCAACACTAGGAATGAAACCCAGTAGATGGACAATTCTGACATTTGTTTGCATTTACCATAGCCACTCACTCTAGAAACATTTGAATATGGCTGAATTTGCCTATATTTTCATTATTTAGAATGTTTTATAAAGACTTCTTCAATAACGAATCCTACCAAAAGAATGTTATTGCAACACTAGGAATGAAACCCAGTAGATGGACAATTCTGACATTTGTTTGCATTTACCATAGCCACTCACTCTAGAAACATTTGAATATGGCTGAATTTGCCTATATTTTCATTATTTTTAGAATGTTTTTATAAAGACTTCTTCAATAACCATAATCCTACCAAAAGAATGTTATTGCAACACTAGGAATGAAACCCAGTAGATGGACAATTCTGACATTTGTTTGCATTTACCATAGCCACTCACTCTAGAAACATTTGAATATGGCTGAATTTGCCTATATTTTCATTATTTAGAATGTTTTATAAAGACTTCTTCAAAAAGAATAAACACTAGAATCCTACCAAAACCATAGAATGAAACATTTGAATATGGCAATTTGCATATTTTCATTATTTAGAATGTTTTATAAAGACTTCTTCAATAACAATAGATGGACAACACTTCTGATGGACAATTTGTTTTGCATTTACCATAGCCACTCACTCTAGAAACATTTGAATATGGCTGAATTTGCCTATATTTTCATTATTTAGAATGTTTTATAAAGACTTCTTCAATAACGAATCCTACCAAAAGAATGTTATTGCAACACTAGGAATGAAACCCAGTAGATGGACAGTTCTGACATTTGTTTGCATTTACCATAGCCACTCACTCTAGAAACATTTGAATATGGCTGAATTTGCCTATATTTTCATTATTTAGAATGTTTTATAAAGACTTCTTCAATAACGAATCCTACCAAAAGAATGTTATTGCAACACTAGGAATGAAACCCAGTAGATGGACAATTCTGACATTTGTTTGCATTTACCATAGCCACTCACTCTAGAAACATTTGAATATGGCTGAATTTGCCTATATTTTCATTATTTAGAATGTTTTATAAAGACTTCTTCAATAACGAATCCTACCAAAAGAATGTTATTGCAACACTAGGAATGAAACCCATTTGTTTGATGGACAAATTCTGACATTTGTTTGCAATTTACCATAGCCCAGTAGATGGACAGTCTGACTCTAGAAACATTTGAATATGGCTGAATTTGCCTATATTTTCATTATTTAGAATGTTTTATAAAGACTTCTTCAATAACGAATCCTACCAAAAGAATGTTATTGCAACACTAGGAATGAAACCCAGTAGATGGACAATTCTGACATTTGTTTGCATTTACCATAGCCACTCACTCTAGAAACATTTGAATATGGCTGAATTTGCCTATATTTTCATTATTTAGAATGTTTTATAAAGACTTCTTCAATAACTAATCCTACCAAAAGAATGTTATTGCAACACTAGGAATGAAACCCAGTAGATGGACAATTCTGACATTTGTTTGCATTTACCATAGCCACTCACTCTAGAAACATTTGAATATGTGGCTGAATTTGCCTATATTTTCATTATTTAGAATGTTTTATAAAGACTTCTTCAATAACGAATCCTACCAAAAAGAATGTTATTGCAACACTAGGAATGAAACCCAGTAGATGGACAGTTCTGACATTTGTTTGCATTTACCATAGCCACTCACTCTAGAAACATTTGAATATGGCTGAATTTGCCTATATTTTCATTATTTAGAATGTTTTATAAAGACTTCTTCAATAAATTTAATCCTACCAAAAAGAATGTTATTGCAACACTAGGAATGAAACCCAGTAGATGGACAATTCTGACATTTGTTTGCATTTACCATAGCCACTCACTCTAGAAACATTTGAATATGGCTGAATTTGCCTATATTTTCATTATTTAGAATGTTTTATAAAGACTTCTTCAATAAATCTAATCCTACCAAAAGAATGTTATTGCAACACTAGGAATGAAACCCAGTAGATGGACAGTTCTGACATTTGTTTGCATTTACCATAGCCACTCACTCTAGAAACATTTGAATATGGCTGAATTTTATATTTTTCATTATTTAGAATGTTTTATAAAGACTTCTTCAATAACAGAATCCTACCAAAAAAGAATGTTATTGCAACACTAGGAATGAAACCCAGTAGATGGACAATTCTGACATTTGTTTGCATTTACCATAGCCACTCACTCTAGAAACATTTGAATATGGCTGAATTTGCCTATATTTTCATTATTTAGAATGTTTTATAAAAGACTTCTTCAATAACGAATCCTACCAAAAGAA